ATAATTTGAAAGACAAATTTCCACTCACCCAAATGAACATGAAATAGTTTTTACATGCAAACATCGTACAAGTTTAAATTAATAGAAATTTATAGTATAATATTTCCTCCGCGACAGTATGGGGCTGTCTTGAGAAACTCAATTAATTGGATAGGAGCAATCGGGTAATTTTGTGCTGGGTGTCAGGCCATATGAGAGTGGAAGGAAATGAGGTAGCTGGCGAGAATCGAACTAAATTGCATTTGTTTACTTTTTTATGAAATCGTTTTCGCCCTTTCATGGAGTCATCATCGCTCAAAAATGCCATTCAAATGTGATTTTACCATATCTTAGGTTATGACATCAAAAAAATATTTGAATTATTTTACGGGACAAACTAATCAATTTTTCGAGACAATCCCATTCTCCAAACTTCTCTCATATATATATTAAATGTCGGGGTATAATTTATTATTGAAATTTATTATAAAAATACATGGTTCGTTTGAAATTCTTTCTATTATATGTGTTTATCCCACCATTTTCCAAAAAGGATTTATATTATAAATTTGTGTATATGAAAAATATATGAGAAAAATCGTTTAAAATAATTTATAAATACAATCAAATTTATTTTTTTGTATTCTTAAAAAGTTCACATATACAAAATGGAACTTTTAAAGCTGCTTAAATATTACAATTACGTCATAAATTATTTAAATATATACTTATATACATATATATTTGTGTAAATAAAAGAATCAAGATATTCATAGTATATGACGGAATGCCGTACATCATATGCGCCTATATATTTTTGTAGATTTTCCAAAATTTCCATAGAACTTTATTCATTTATTGTAATTTTTAACATATGTTTTCAATATTAAATAAATGTTTTTACAATATTTAATATGAGAAACAATAAAATAAAATTGTTAAACAATATATTAATGGCAGTTAATTTTGTGAGGGCGTAATTTTGTTATTGAAATTCAAGGGAGCAAAATTAATCGTTATCCTGCTGAATTTGCAATTTGAATGTTATATATGAGAGTAATAATTTTGTATAGTAATATTGAAAATATGTTAAGAAAATTTTAGAAATTTCTTTTATGTTTAATCTTGATAATTATTTTCAAGTTTATTAGAATATTTATCATTAAGTATAAGAATAATGAAAGAAAACTTTTCATATAACGGTTACCGATATTACACTTTAAACGTTAAACTTATGAGAAATACGATGAGAAACTAATAATGAAAGTAGGAATCTATGGCCTAGATAGACATTTTATGGGAAGTAGATTAGGGTTATTTTGAAATTGAATTTTTTAGAAGCCCATTCAATTACTCAGTTTATTAGAGGCATCATCGGTTTTCAAAATTTTATAACAAATAATTATTCTCTGCAACCTAAAATATTAATTCTAAAATCTCCGTATTACTTTTTTGCGCACTTGCAAGAAAATTAAAAAATCTTTTCTTTCAGACTTTATGCCCACCTCTTTGTCTCTTCATCTGTTCACATTGGACAGCTCACACTTGTATGAGGCCCTTTAATCATTTATTTGCACATTGCCCATCTAAACGCCAGTTCTTCCATTTGTGCATACCTTCCTTTGTCCACACGTCTATTTATTCATTTAGCTAGAGATTCGGCGAGTTCGTTATCCTTTGACCCTTTAGTTCGTTTACCCGTTTGTTCGGCTCCGTCGGTTCGCATCCGGTACCCTAATTATTCATTCTCCCTTTTATTAATCTATCTGCTTGTTAATTTATCTGATATAATTAAGCGCATTCGCAAAATTTGTTTATCGACTCCCACATCTCTCCCTTTGTTAGTTTATACATATGTCTACCAGTTCTTTCACCTATCGGTTATTTTTTATATCCGTCGGTTCGTTAGTTCGTCCATTCGTGCATTCCTTTTTCCTTTCATTCGGCGGTTCGGTTATTACTCTTTCATTCGCCTACTCGTCTGATTTTTCAGTAGTCTGTTCGGTTATTCGTCTACTCTTCTATTCGTCTAGTCGCCTAGTCTATCTATTCATTCGTTCACTAGTCTGTCCGATAATTCATCGTATATATTTTCGCGCATTCGCCAATTTATCCATCGACCACCAAATTCCTTAATTCGTTAGTTCCTACATACATCAGCCAGGTTGTTAACCTCTTTATTATTTATTATGTTCATTGGTCCGTTATTTCGTGCACTCATCTATCCAATAGATGTTGAAGAAAGGCCTTTCTTGTTTTATAACAAAATAGAGTGGGATAGTCGTAATTAAAATAATTAAATTGCTTTGTTGAATAAGTCAGGTTAACTGGTTCAATTTTATCGGGTTGTATTCTTTATTGTACCTATTTACTACCTAGTTGTTTATTTCGGATTACATAATTTTAAACTTGAATAAATCAAATTAAAATGGTAAAACATTTGACTTGGTTTTTTGTATACCATGAAATTACTGTTATTATAAGTTGTTGCAAGAAAATTTTCAATGCTGCATTGAAAATATTTTTCTTTGAGGATTTAAGAATATTACGCTCAACTCTATATAATTATATTAAAGAACTACGTGATTTTAATATTGAATTTTTCTTAAAGTTTAAGTTGCAACTTCACTTAATTCTATTCATATACAAGATTTTGATTTCAAGTTATAAAAATGTTATGATTTTAACAAAAAAACTTTCTCCTTCAAGTTTTATTTCAAATATATTTAAAATTCAATACAATTTATATTACATACACATATATGTTGTAGTAACAGGATCACTTTACATATTTAATGCACATATATAATTTATTTTTCAGAGAAACTTTAAAAGAACTAGTAGGGTGATACAAAACGAGTATAAACTTTTTACCTTTGATTTTTAACCTACAATAACTTAAATATGTGTGTTTGTTACAAATATATGCATTTGTTATAACATTATTCTTAAGTATTGTGCTCGAAAGGTTTTTATGTTGATTTGCAATTTACCCGATACGGTTGAATGTATTTTAAGGTCCTTTTTGTATCCACACATATTTACGATAATGCAACTTATATAATATTTTGTAATGTGTAAAAGCTAAAAATAATGTGTGGTATTAAAAACTTTGATTTTGATTATTCATTTTTTTTAAATCCATGTTATTATGCAAAATTATAAAATGATTTAATGTCAAAATGAATTTTATAGAGATTGAATAAAGAGTAAACAATTTTAAAATTACAAAATATAATCTTCTGGAGAAAATTGAGCTAAAGAAAAAATTTATATTATAGTAATGGCTGTGCTCTTTTCAAATACTCGAAATCTATAATACCTCCAAGTAATGCTCAAGAGTATAAAAATTTTTTGAATAACGCTCCGAGCGTATAACAATCTTAACTATATAATTCATAAATCAGCCTTCGATGAATGTATATTTGAGAGAAATATTTATATACATATTTATTCCGGTAGATGGCTTTGTATTTTTTTAATGAAAAATTAAATTTTAGCTCACGGAAAATTGAAACGGCGTTTTATGTACAGGAGACATTTTGATATATACAGAATTTACCGAACAGCATACGGAATTGATTTTTTTTTTTTGCACACGAAAGCTGAAGCTGGAATAAATTGTGTATGATTATTTTCCTCGAATATTTTTCTTCCTCAAAGTCCTTTTCAGCGTTGACCTATACGATCTTTTATGATTCTCATTTCCTCCTAGATTAGCCCTATAACCAGTATCCGACAAATTGCAGTATTGCAGCTTACAGTATTTTATGACTCTCATTTCCCTTAAATTAGCCCTATATCTTGTCTCCGACAAATTGCAATATTGTAGTTTACAGTATTTTATGATTCTTATTCCCCTATATCCAGTCTCCGACAAATTGCAGTATTGCAGCTTACAGCAAATTACCAGACTTCCATCGGAGTCACAAAGCCGTTCATTTGAAGCATTTCAGCCACAAGCGAAGTACTGCCTTACATTTGCACAACAAATAATTTAGCGTTTCGTCCTCTTCAAGGTAGAGACGACAGACTTCGGCTTTTATTTTGCCCATCCTCTTCAGGTGGAACATCGAGAGGTAGTGTTCAGTTAGTACTTGCTCCAATTGCCATCGAATCTGAACGGCCAAATGCAATCTGTTCCCGCCTAGTCGGTCCCAAGCGAAATATATATTTGGCTTCAGAACATAATAATTTCTAGGTATATTTCAATATTTATAGGTATGTAACTTTTACAGTTCTTACTTGTCTTCCCTACCAAGTTCCATTTAAAAACTACATTGAATTATTTCCATGCTGGTATTGTTTTTATAATAATAAAACGCTAACAATCTACGATGCAAGTTACTTACGGTTTCGTTCTATTTTCAATTCCACGTTTTTTAAGCCTTTTATTTCTTTTGTTCAATGTTTTTAAATTTAAAATCAAAATTTTAGAATTAAATTGTTGAAACGTAAAATAAAAAGCACATAAATTTGCTTTTATTGAAATGAAAGTCAAAATTTGTTTTCTTGTTGTGTCAAATAACTTTTTTATAAAAAAAAAATAAGAAAAATTTTTTTGTTATTCTAAAACGCTTTAAAGTGAAGTCAACCGAGATCTCGACTTTTTTTTGGCCATAACCACCCACCTTCTATATTTTTTTGGAGGTACAAGAGGTGGTATTTATTTTTTTTTTTATTATTTTGTATAGATTTCAATAAAAAGATCAATAAAAATTCATTTAGGCGTTTTAAATTAATCCGCAAGGATTTTTATTTTTTTTACAAAATGGAAATATTTGAGTCCATTATTATGGAAATATTTGAGCGTTTGTGTCTTAAGTAAAATAAACAAATTTGTGTATATGTGTACATATATACTTAATATTCTCGTATATACATATAAAGGTCATTATTGTATCCATAAATTTGTTTTTAATCTTTATACTTAGTGTTTTTTTCCTTTTTAAATAATTTAGAGAAAATTGTTGGGTAATTTGCTAATACATAATTCTCTTGTTTTTTCTTTTTATATATAGGAATATGTGGAGTGTATGGCAAACGGTTTTAGAAGAAAATGAAAAATTAGCTCGAGCTCGTTTAGCTGCTATTGAAGTATTTCAACAACAAATTGCTGATGAAGCAAAAGTTCTGCGTGAATATAAATTGCAAATAGCAAAAAAATGTTTAAGTCAAATAGCAAATATACAAAAAGAATTACATTTTAGTGTTGCCGATGTTGATAGAACTAAAAAACAATATTTTGATGAAGAGCATTGTGCACATGATGTCCGAGATAAAGCACGTGATATTGAAGAGAAATTGAAAAAAAAGAAAGGTTCATTCTTTCAATCAATAACATCATTACAAAAAAATAGTGCTCGTGTTACATCACGTAAAGAAATGTTGGAAGAGAAATCAACTGGTGCTCGTAATGATTACATATTAACATTAGCAGCAGCAAATGCCCATCAAAATCGTTATTTTACTGTTGATTTACAAACAACAATGACTACAATGGAAAATTATGTTTATGAACGTGTTGCCGAATATTTAACATTAATGGGACGTACAGAATTATTAACATGTTCGGCAACACAAAATTCATTTGGTAAAATAAGAGATCAAGCCCAACAATTAACTAGAGAATATAATTTACAGTGTTGCTATCTTTTTTATCCTGTATTAAAACAACATATACAATATGATTTTGAACCATGTGACAATGATCCAATAAGTAAAATTACTGCCGAACATGAATCAGCTGCAGAAACATTAGCAAAAGAAGCGAAAAATTTAGCTGCTAAAGTTGTTCAAGCAAACAATACAATTAGGGAAAGTGCTAAAAAATTAGCCGTTTGTTCATCGTTACGTGATGCTGGTCAACGTTCAGATCCAAATGATCCAAATGGACCAGATTTAAGTACTAAAATTGAAGATTTTAAAGAATCAATTCGTAGATTTGAAACAGAAAAATGTAAAGCTGAAGCATGTTTGGAATGTTTACGTGCCGGTGGAATTAATGTTGATGAATGGGTTAAAGAAGCAGAATCATTAGAAGCACAAGAATTGACAAGATCAGCTAGTTCATTATCAATGAGAACAGATGCATCTGAAAAGGTAGTAGGTTTCATTCCAATTATCATTTTATAATATCACATTCAAGGTCATTAAATATTTTTTATATTTTAAATTTTTAGGAACAAGGTGCCAGTTCAGATTCATTTTATGATAGCGATAAAGATGAAGATGTTACAAGACAAGATTCATTTAAGAAACAAACTATTGCTGAATCTTCTGCTCCACCTAGAGCAAGAACTCCTGATTCTGATTCTGATAGTAAGCTCAAAATTAGAAAATATGTACAAAACACCATGATTAAATTTTGTTTTCATTAAACTCTACTAGTTGAACCAGATACACCAGCTCCAGTTATAGAAAGCTTTGCTACTAATTGGGATGCAGATCCCACTGAAGTGAATTGGGGTGCATCAGAAACAACAGAAGCAGCTGAACCCGAAATAGCACAACCAGTATCAGCGACGCCAGTTCCTGAAAGCTCACAGAAAGATGTTATATATAAATGTCTTGCACTGTACAGTTATACCGTAAGTCGAAATCCGCATATTTTTAAGATTTATTCTATTTATAAATACTTTAATTTTAAATTTTTTTTAGGCACAAAACCCGGACGAACTCACTATAGTCGAAAATGAACAACTTGAAGTTATTGGTGAAGGTGACGGTGACGGTTGGTTACGTGCAAGAAATTATAAAGGTGAAGAAGGTTACGTACCACATAATTATTTGGACATAGATCAAGATACCGCTGCTGCAGTAAATAATTCTAGCCAACTACAAACACAAATATCATTTTCATCAGTCGATTATACAGTTGATAATGAAGATCAAACTCAAGATTCTGGTCAATCACCAGATCAAGTATCAGTTATAATGGCACCTGGTGCTGAACAGGCAGCTGCAATGATTAATCAACAGATCCAACAACAGCAACAACAAATTGAAAAACAACAATATGAACAACAACATCAAGAAAATTATCAGAAACGTGAAAGACCTAAACCTGGTGAACAAGAATATTGTATTGCTATGTATGATTACGATGCAACAGCTGAAGATGAATTGACATTTGAAGAGGGACAAATTATTAAAATTATAACAAAGAGTGCACATGGTGTTGATGACGGATGGTGGGAAGGTGAATTAAATGGTCAAGTTGGAAATTTCCCATCACTTGTTGTTGAAGAATGTGATGAAAATGGTGAACCATTTACATATGGAGAAGATGATGAAGAAGAAGAAGATGAAACACCACCTGGTTCAGCAATGCCTAGTTTTTCATTTCCTGCAGCACCAGAATTACCACCGGAATATGCACAAAATGATGATTTATTCCAATCAACTGATGAAATGGATGGTAATTGCTTTCAAAAAATTTAAAAGTAAACGAAAAATTATGTTTTTTCTCTACTATGTTTTAGATTCAGCTATGGTTATTGATGATTATCCTACACGACCTCCACCGATGGGCGCCCCACCACCACCACCCCCGGGTAAGAACTCTTTTTTTTTGGCTAACACTTTTTCTTTTATTCTAAATGTTTATGTTTACTTCGAATTCGTATTTAATATTGAAATATTTTTAATTTTATTATAAATGCTTACAAATAGTTATTATCGAGGAAGAACCTGAGGTAATAGGAATGAAATATAATGTACAAAATATATAAATTTTAATTTATTTTTTCTAATATCTAAAATATTTAAAAAAATATATTATAATTTTTGTTTTATTTTTAGGAAAATTCAAACATACCCGGGGTCAGAGTTACAAATTCAAATGGCGGTGATCCAAGTGGAAATTATAATTTAGGTGCAGTACAAATAAATGTAACTGCAGCAACACCAATGATTGAAGATAAAGGTTTTATACCAAAAGATGAACAAAAATCAATTAAAGATGATAAAAATTCATCAAATAATAATGAAAGAATAAATAATAATGAAGCTGATGAACATTTATTAGATGATGATATGAGAGATGATTCAGAATTTGATAGTGAAAATGAACAACAACATGATAATGTTAAACCAATACAAGAAACTGAAGAACCATTTGGTCCAAAAATAACAGATAAACAACAACAACAAAATAATAATGATAATCAATTTGAAACAAATTTTGAAGCAAATTTTGAAGCTAATTTTGATGATGCATTTAATGCTGCCAATGAACAAAAAACTAGTGATGATGATGATGATAATAGTCATAATCAATCACCACAAAATGTTGTTGATACACCAAAACAAGTTGTTGGTGGTAGAGCATCAATACCAGAAGAATTAGAACCCCATCAATTAGCACGTTTACAAAATTTAAAAGAATCGAATGCTTAATTTTATACTATTAAAATTTAATATTTAAATATTTAAATTAAAAATCCATATGTATATATATATACATATATATATAACATATAAAAATATTAGTAATCGTTTATATTATATGTAATATAAAATAATAAATTAAAAATTATATATAAATAAATAATTCATTCAAATATACAAAAAACAAAAATACAATATTGTAATTTAATTATATAAATTATAATAGTAATTATATGAACACTCAAAATTCATTTATATTTAATTCATTAATTTTTTCATTATTCCACAAAAAATTCATTTTCATCACATTACCAAAAATAAAAAAATTAACATTAATTTATTAATAAACGTTAAAAATAAACGTAGAAATTATTATATAATATATAAAAACAGAAAAATTGTATATTTAAATGTATAAATTAAAAAAAAAAATTCAAATTTTTGAACTTAGATATTGAAAATATGGGAGCGAAAAGAAACGTTAAAAAATTAATTTAATAAATATTCATAATAATTATTTGATATTTAAATGAACGTAAATTTATTAAAAATATTTGTGCTCTACAAATATTGTTTATTGTATACTTTGTAAAAAATTGTATTTAAAAAATAATTTGTATGTTGTATAAAGTAAATTTGTTGTTTGTTGCTATAAAAACATTTCCTATAAAAGAATTAAAAGAATAAATAGCCTCATTTCTGATTTCAAAAATTCCAGTAATACATAAAATATTTAATTCAAGTTCAACTTAAAACTTCTTATATTGTTGAATTATGTTCATATTAAAATTAACAGAATTTTATATTAATATTTAAAATGCTACCGTAAATACTCGAGAATTTCTAATAAAACATATATATTGGGGCTTATTCTGAGTATCGAATCACTAAGTGATTGTGAAAACTATCTGAAAAAGTTCGCTATTATTATTGGAAATACAAATCAATTCATGCAAATGAATCGTATCTATAATAAGATTTTTAAAACTTTTACGATAATATCACTATCATTTAATGATTCTATAATTTGAATAAGCCAGCCCAATTATTAAACTCACTAATGAGCAAATTAACTAATTAAGGTGTTTTTTTTTGTGTACAGTAATTAAAATTATATTTAGGTAAAAATATTTGTTTAAAATTTTTTTTTACTATTTAGAAATAACTGCAATCTTATTTTAAATTAAACTTGAATTAAATGGTATTGAATAAGTTACTAAGAAACAGAAAAGCAACAATTAAATATATTTAAATATAATGTAAAAAAACGGAAAAGAGTAAAATATATAGAAAATCGTCTAGCATTCTATAAATTCAAAAGAAGTAATTTAAAATTATTTGCTATATTCTATTATTAAAATTATTGTAAAATTTAACAATAATAAAGGGCATAAATATTTTAAATTCGCATATTCAGACTTCAATTTCATTTATTCAAAAGTTTAAATTTGATCTTACTGAATAAATAAAAATGAAGTTGGATTGAATGGTATTTTGTTGTCATGCTTAAAATTTTGTAAATATAATTAATTATTATTATAATGACTACAAATTTATCGTGTAAACTTGCAATAACAATTAATTACTGAATACAAATCTCAAGTTAATAATGAACAAATTTTAAGATCAAAAATCATCATTTTAAAGTTAACTGAATACACTATTTGCATCTGTGTATAGATTTTATAGTTATTTAATATTAAATTAATTATATATATATATAGATATTATGTTACTATATTCTTAAAAATCAAAATATACTTTAATCATTTGAAAATAATCCACCTTTGAATAAAAAAAAACAAAATTTTTTCCATGTTTCCAATGTCTAAATTTCAAATTATAATGAAGAACAAAAAATAATTTTGTATAATTTAATATAATATTTTCATTATTATTAGAAGCTATTACTTTAAAATTATGATAATATTGTATTAATATAATATTCAGCAATTGTAATTCATAAGCTGACTTATATATTAATACCATATTATTATAATTTTGAAATCTGGAAAATTTTATAATTAATTTTTAATACCACTCAATTTATTTATGTTAATACCCGCATATACATTATTATAAATGTACTTTAATATAAGAATTTATATTAAATAAATTTGGAATACTTATATACTCGTACCATTAAAATATTACAAAAATTTTAAATTAAAACCTAATATTACTTATTATTAAAATAAAAAAACATGTGAAACTTAATGCCTTTCTATATATATATGCATATTTGTATATTTGAATTAAAACCAAATAAATAAAAAATGTTTTTAAAATTTTATGTGTGCATAATAATAAATTTATTTATATATAATATTGGAAAAAAATGTATTTAAAAATTTTAAATTTGAATATGAATTATAAGTCGAAATTATTAAAGGTGATATTTTATTTGTTGTTGCCACATAATTTATCAAATGCTCAAAGTATTAAATATCACTACCATTTAGTGATTCGATACTCAGAATAAGACCCTCTTTTTGTTTCGTTTTTCCTCAAAATGCTCTTTAGATTTATATTTATTTCAAATTATTAAAAAAATTTGTTTGAATTTGATTTAATAATATATTATTATATTGCTACATAGTTATGTGTATAACAAATAGATTATCACCTTAAATATTATTATACGCAAATATAAGTTATGTGTAAATTTATTATATAAAATAATATAATTTTGTTGTATAGAAAAAAAATATGTTCTATGTACAAAAACCAATTATTTTTAATGTTTAAATTTTAATAGTTTTTGTTATATTATTGTTATTATTAATTTATAATTATTTTTAAGAATATTATATAATATTTATAATTATTTAATAACAAAAGTATGCCTTATAAATTTTTAAATTTCAATTGTCTTAAATCTGTATTAAATTGTCTTAAATTTGTACAATGTTACTTATTATTTTAATCTATTTAAAATTTATTTTAATTTTAATTATTAAATGACTCTTATTTACATTCCTTCACAAATAATTGCAAGAATTTTTCAAATGCCAATTTTTTACATATTCTATATTAGATGGAGTTTGTAATGCTCTTTGTTATAAAAATTATATATGTACGCTGTGTATATATGTATGTATGTAACTAGGTGAAAGTTTTCTTTATTAAAAAAATTATTTTTTATATAATTACGACAGATAATTTATTAGGTACATGCACCTAATACATAAAAATTTATTAATGTTTAACATAATTGTTTTACTTATATAACCTAGATAACATACACAACATACATTTTATGTACACATTGTATATCACATTTATTAGTAATGGCTTTATAAATAGTCATTTCATTTCTTTATTAATTTTGAATTTTAATACGGAATCATAATATTCAAATGTATAATCAGTCTTACCGTTTTACTTAAATAAAGTATACATATACTCAAATTATTAAATTCCACTGCCAGATTTAACATTTTCCTTTAAAAATATAATATCTATAGTTCCAATATATTTGTTTGCTAAATATATTCTGATAATTTTTCTGGAAATTTTAATTTATTTTTATTATTAACTTGATATTTATTTAAAGTTTGATATTAATTTTAAATAGATGAATATAATAAGTTAATGTTGCGTTTAAATAAGTTTATAAATAACGTTTACATATAACAGTGTAATCTCAGTATAACAGATACTACGAACAATTTGTTAGCAGTAATAAAAGTTTTAAAGAGTTCCAATGTTAAGAATAAAATTTACTAGGGTTTTCTTTATATAGAGATTACGTTTTATATGTAAATATATTTTTTATTATATTAATTATGTAACTATTAAAAAAATATAAAATAATGCAATATGCCATAAAAATTATAAGAGTATTACTCATTAGAACAAAAACACACTTATACACATAAACTATATTTTTAATTTTAATTTTATATATTCCAATTTGTTCAATTTTAATTAATTAATTAATTATTTCAATTTAATTTAAGAGAAAATTTTATTTATTTTATCCAAATTAGTTTAATTATTTTAATTTTTTTTTTTTGTTTTATAAATCTACATATTTTATATACATTGTACTATATTATACATACTTACCCTAAAAAATTTTCATATGATAAATCGAGAACCAAATATTTAAAAAAAAAAAAAAAAACAAAATCAAAAAAATATACACATATATTAAAAACATTTCTATAAGCAATAATAATTTATATTTCGTACATTTATGTATAATACATATATACATACATATTTATAATCCTATTATCGTAATTTAATATAGTTAACGTCTTCGAATAATATTAAAAATAATAAATTATAAATTATTATTATATTATTATTATTACACGTATACTCCTTATATGTTTATATATATTGTATATATATACATGTTATATACTCGTAAATAAGTAATATATAATATAAAAAATATAAATTATTGTTAATATAAAAATTGCACTAATATTACATGTACAATAATTATGATAATTACAATACATGTAATAATAATATTATTATTACAAAATTTGCTTTAATTCCTCGTATAACATTTATTTTTAATTTTAATTATTTTAAATATTCACTCGTATATAAATACTTTTATCGATCGTAAAAAAAACAAACCTATTAATTTTAAATTAATATTAATTAAGATTAATATTAAACCTATTCTGATTGTGTATATAAAATAAATGGTATAACAAAAATGTATAACATTATAATTTATATAACAGTATATTTTATTAATGTATTCACCAATAATTATATTTATAAAGATTTTAATATCATATATTTAGTGTTATTTAGCATTTAAAAAAGAAAAAATATTCGACAAAGCAAGTTAAAAAATTAAAACACAAAAAAACAAAAACAATTATCGCATGTGCTCTAATATTTCTTTTCAAAATATCAAAATGTCAATATGTCTACACCACATTGACAATTAATATATTTGTGTCATTATTTTGCCGATTTGAATGTTATTTCAATTGGTTATATATAAATGTAATTTTCTTTTTATTTATTTTGCAATTTAATTACTTAAATTTTCACTTATACTGCAACTAATTTTTTTTACCTACATTTTTGTCAATATTTTTTCACTAACAAATGTTAAAAATTGATTTGACAGCTCGTATTATAATTCGCTCGTAATTATTATATAGACTAAGGATCTCTCACGTATGCATGCATGGTTGTCTAAAATTATTCAATATTGTATATCTGAATAAATTACTATTAAGGGCACTATTGTTTGCCATTCCATAAAATACAAGATTTTACATTATTTTATTTTATTTCTTAACTATTGAAATATTTTATTAAATCTGTTATTTTGATTTGGCATAATGAACCAAAATATAATAATAATAAAAATTGGAAAAATATATCATAATTACGATAAATGCTTATTTGCATATATAAAAAAAATCGTTTACTTCTAATACAAATTACAAATATTTCTTATATTAATTTTTATCAATTCTACATAGGGCACTAAAATTATTAATATTATATATTCTATCGTTATATTCTTGAAAACAATAAAAAAAATGAAATACTTAAGATATTATTGTTATACATAAAAAGAACAAAAACTTTATGTAAAAAATTAATTATTTATATGTAATTACTTATGTATTTATTAAAATAAATGTACAGATATTATAATAAATTTTCATTTTTAATTTTGTAATTATTATTTCAAATATTAAATCTTTATATACAATATATAATATACATATATATATATTATATACAATATATTTATATTGCTTTAATTTATAATGGCTTATAGTTTTTTAGTTAGTTAAATCGTTTGTTGGTTATATTTATTATATTATATCTTTATCTAAAAATAAATAAATTAAAAAAAAAAACAAAAAAAAATTCTTATACAAAAATTAAACTCTATATATATTTAAAATAAATTTATGTATACATATATATACATATATATATATATATATATTCATATATGAATATATATGAATTAATATATATATATATAATTATATATATACATATATATACATATGTAAGATAAAAATAAATTAAAAACTACAAAATCGTTGTACTCAATTGAATTGAAATGAAAAATTATATATATATCTATATATATAATTATATAAATAAATATTTTTATATATTATATATATATATATATACATATATATATATATGTATATATATATATATATATATATATATATATATATATATATATATATATATGTATATATATATATATATATATATATATATATGTATATATATGTATATATATATATATATATATATATATATATATATATATATATATATACATATATATATATATGTGTATATATATATATATACATATATATATATATATATATATGCATAATTTAATATAATACAAAAAATAAATAAATAATATTATTCACATATTAGGGAAAATCGTTTCTTTTGTCATATATATAAAATATCATATAGGTATATATAAAAATACACACATATACATATAAGTAATTACATATTTACAATATGTAATGTAATTACATTAAAGATGAAACGTATGAAAAACAAACAAAAACAACCTTATAATAGTAAAATTTAAACTAGAATAAAAAAAATGAGGAAAAATAAATACAAAAAACAAAATTACAATAAAATTATGAATGAAAAATGAAATGTAATTGAAATAATACCAAAAAATAAAACAAACAAAAAAAAAAAATTAAAAAAAAATTGAAAACAATGTGAAACAAAAAATAAAATAAAATAATTAATAAAGGAAAACTTATGTAAATCTGTTAAGAAAAATATTATTAATAATATGAAAAATAAAAGAAATATTGAAACAAGTACAATAAAACTTTATTTTGCTTTTTATTTTAAATTCCCTGATAGAGTATGTTTATCAGTAAATCAAATTAATTCAGCAATACAATTTAAATAGCTGAATAAGTCAAATTGATATTAGATCTGTATTTTGGTAAACACCCATGTACCCAAATAAGTATTTTCTTATAAATACATAAATTTTGAAAAGAAAATTTTTGAGAATCATTTTTAAATTTTAAATATTCTAAATTTCAATATTAATATTTTTCTTCAGAATATAATATTTCCTCCTTAATGCAATAATGCAATAATATTTCCTTAATGCACTTGTGCTTTTGTTACTCTACACGTACATTATTAAATAAAAAAAAAACAAAACGAGAATGGTTTTGATTTTAGCTTTTCGATGCTCGAATTTGTTTCTGTACACAAACCAAATTCAGTTGAAATTTGATAAACTCATCCCTGATTGAATGCAAAAATTTCCCTTAATTTTTGGTTATTGGGTTTGTTACTCACTTTTATTCTGAATTGTATTCATCCTTCAAGTCGAACAAAAAGAAGCCTTTGTTTTTATGAATGGAATTTATTTTTATATTTTGTTTTGTATATTGTTGAGACTGCTACACACCTTTGTAAACAAAACGAAAAATCAATTGGTCGTCGAGAATTAAAATTTAATTAGGCTACAATTTGACAACGTCAAAATTTAAGTAAAAATTTCTTGATGAAACACACCACGGGACAAACATTATTATTTTTTAATAAGATAAAGGATATAAAATTCAATTCTGTTTCATGGTTTAATTTGGTCTGTCTGTTCACTAATTCTGACTTATACTTAAATGAAAAATGAAACCTATATTCATTGTAAATATTTTGTAAAAATATTTTGTAAATTATTGTGAATATGTGGCAATTGTGAATTCTCATACTTAAAATCGAAATTTCTACAAAATGTTCTACAAATAATGCCGGTTGTATTAAAGAAATGTCAAAATTGTAAATAAACATAGAAGTCGGGTTATTGTTTTCATTAAAAGAAAACCAAACAATTACAAAAAAAAAAATTATTAAGAAAATTTATGGCCTAGAATTAAATTTTTATACATTTTTAACACAGAAGAAGTTAAATATGGTGAATGGGAATGTTTGTATTCTTGATAATGGAGCATATCTTGCAAAGGTTGGTTTAAATTCATATGAGAAGCCTAGGTAAGATTAATTTTGCTATTTTTTTTCAATTTGTTTTGATGCATTGATGTTGCAAAAAATTAAACAATAAAATTTAAAACTTATTTCTATTACAATTAACAGAGTAATGCCAAATTGTGTTATGAAAGCGAAATCGGAAAGAAGAAGGGCTTTTATAGGAAGTCAAATAGAGGAATGTCGTGATGCATCTGGTTTATTTTACATGTTAAGTTTTCAAAAGGGCTATTTAGTTAACTATGATGTACAGGTGAGTTTATTTTATTATAATTTCTAGGTGTAATAGATTTGTGTTTGTATTCTGTTTCTGTTAAAAAAAACAAATTCGTTTTCAGAAAACTGTTTGGGATTTTATGTTTAGTCCTGATGGTGTTGGTATTAATTTAGCTGAAAAAGTACTAATTGTTACAGAACCGCAATTTAATTTTGAAAGTAATCAAGAAGCTATGACCGAAATATTTTTCGAAGAATATGAAATTGAAGGAATTTATAGAACTACATCTGCAAATTTATCTGCTATGAAATATTTAAGTGATATTCCTAATATAACAACATGTATTGTTATAGAAATGGGATATAGTTTTACGCATATAGTACCTTTCGTAAAGCGAAAGAGAATTAAAGAAGGTATTCGTCGTATTGATATTGGTGGGAAATTATTAACAAATCATTTAAAAGAACTAATTTCTTATCGCCATTTAAATGTTATGGATGAATCTTATGTTGTGAATCAAATAAAGGAGGACATTTGTTTTGTATCACAAGATTTTAAAAGAGATTTAAAATTATCAAAAACTCGTGAAAATCCCATTGTGACTGAATATGTATTACCTGATTTTACTTCAATAAAACGCGGTTATGTTAAGAAAAAAGATGATAACTACAAAGATTATCAAATGTTAAAATTAAGTAACGAACGCTTTACTATACCAGAATTATTATTTTATCCATCAGATATAGGAATTCGTCAGGTTTTTTTTGACAATTTTCTTTAAATATTATTCCATACTATTTCAATAATTGTTTTCTTTTTAGATGGGTGTTGCTGAAAGTGTTTTGGATTGCCTGAAAGCCTGTCCACCTTGCAGTCATCATGTTTTAGTGTCTAATATTATAGTTACTGGAGGATGCGCATTTTTCCCCGGAATGCGAGATAGATTGCAAGGAGAAATTAGAAAATTAATTCCTGATGAATTCAAAGTTAATGTTTCAATTCCTGAAGAGTAAATAATATTTATTTATTTTAAATATTAATTAAATTTTAAAATGAAAATTTTTTCTTATTTTAGTCCAATTTCATACCCTTGGTTTGGTGGTAAAATTTTGGCAGAAACTCCAGATTTTCGAGAGAATATTATGACTAGAGAAGATTATGATGAAAATGGAGTGCAACATTCAGTTACTAAATTTGATTTATAACAATTATAATGAATATGTGTAAGCGTGACATAGCGTCTTTAAGAAATTTTTAAAAGTAATAAAAAACATAAATAAATAAAAGGAAAGGTAACTTATTTGTTTTATAAAAAAAATTTTAATTTAAAATTAATTGATTCAGTAATATACTAAAATAATGACAATGATTTCTTATTACTAAATGACAATTTAATTTTTGTTATTAATTTAAAAGAACGTAAATAATGAAATTTCAAATATTTTCTATTAAAAAAAAAATATGTATATATAAATCAATTAAAGTAACTAACAAAGATTTTTAACCAGCCAATGATGCTAACAATTTAGGATTAAGTTTTCGATTTTTAATAGATACTCTTGGTTTATATCCCCTTTTATCTGCTGTGTACATTGTAACTGTTTTAATACCTTCTTTGTCCTCGTAACCAAAGGAACCCATTACAACCATTTCTTGTTCTGGTGTTCCTGGGTTCATAATAATACCCATTTCTTCACGAATTGTTCCATCACTAGTTTTATAACTGAAAAACATATTAAAGTTATTAATACTATAAAATTAAATATATTTTAAAGAAAACTATGCGTCAAGAAGCTATGCGTATTCAGGATGATATTTTGATATTTATATAATTTTACAAAGAATAACATTATTACAACAAAAGTACAAGATACTAGACATTATTTTTTATAAAAAATAAGCCATCTGGAAATTAATGTATGTTTTGCATTTAAAAAATTTTTAAAGCTTCCACAATAGCTCCAAATTTTAACCAAGAAAATTTTATGTTAAACCATAATTTAAAATATTAGAATTTTCTTGAAAAACAATTACGATTGAATGATTTTAAATTTTCGAAATTCGAATAATTAATTTTCGAATCAATGTTATTTTCAAGTTCATATAAAATTGCATATATTTAGGCTAATATCATGAATATGTTAGTATTTAAAGTGGTGAATATTGAAAATGAAAATATGTTCGCCTAATTATATGCAAGCGCAAATGTTGAATTTAATAACTTTAAAAATTCGGAATTATGTTATGACCATTGTGTTTCCATTACTTAAAAATCTCATCAGTAAATGCCAAAAAATACTTTAGAATTGCAATTTTTTTTTTTTCTTGAATAAATAAATTGGTCTTTATTTAGTTTTTTTTTTGTTTAAAGTTTATAAATAATTTATTAATAATTTAAAATTTGAAAATTTGAACTAAGTTTTTTTTTTTTTTTAACAAATTTGTTTTGAAATCATGTATTTACAATAGTACATATTGATAAATTTTTTTATTTTATTAATATTTTTGGTTTTTTATTATTCTGAAATTTGTTTCCTAAAATCGTAAATCAATTAAAAGTGTGAATAGCCAGCATATTCTAATAATCAACACTAGAATTGGGCTGAAATGATAAATTTTTTAATTTTATATAAATAATATTTTTATATTGAAGAATTTAATTTAAAATTTAATTTAAAAAATATTAAGTATATTGTAATAATTGCTATACTCATAAAATTTTAAAAATATTTTGTAAAAATAATTTTTTATAGAATATTGCAGGTTCATATTAAATTTTATTTTCATGATATTTAATATTGTTTTATTATTATAAATGATGCAATTACTGGTAAAATAAGAGGGTAAAATGGATGAATTTCAATTCTAGATTGATTAGATTCTAGATCAATAGAATGTTTAATTTTAAGTCACGTTAAATATCACTTAATTTATTATTTATTTTTAATTAAATAACAAACAGAAAATTAAAAATTTACTCCCATAATTCTTGATAGAAGAAAAGTTAGTTCGCCTAACTATATGCAATTTTTTTTTGAAAATAATTTTTTTTCTCAAAAACGTTAATTTCATTTTTGTTAACTGTTATTTGTTATTGCTCATTCCGTATTTAATAACCAGAATTTCAAAAATTATTTAATATTAAATAAATTAATAATTAAAATATTTTTTAATTCGATTAACATTTTCCATAAAAAATTATTTGTCTCTCTTTCCGACCAACTTATACTTTTCAAATTTTTGGTTTGTGCTGTTTAATTCTTTTTTTATTTCGACTCAAAAAATTACCTAAAATTATATCCATCTTCTCTTGGCACATTATTATATTCTTCGAGTAGAATTTTTGGCATCATCATATCCAATAATTGTCCTTCAAGTGTTCTTTCTTGAGCGGCAACACAACCAATCAAAACCACCACCAATACAATTAAACAATGAAACTGTAAGTAAAAAAAAAAGAGAAAATATTGTTGATAAACTCTTTGATTTCATTTGTATATTTTTAGTTTTTCTATATATTTTATTTATTTAGTTGAATTTTTGAAACATTTATTTAATAAATAAAAATAAATCTGCTCAAAATTTCACTTTCAATTATTAAAATTTTATTTTCTATTATTGGACAAAAAAAAAAAACACTTACACTTTTCATTTTGGATTTTGCAATAAAAACAAAACAAAATATTTTATTTAAAAAAAAAAACGAAGCAAAATTCGATAATATTGGAAAAAAATCAATAAAATCAAATAGAAAAAAAAACTGGTCTTAAAAATCAACGGAAGTATTTGAAAAAAAAAAATCAATGGTTTTTTTATTGTTTTTTTTTTCTGTGTTGAATGCTTGTCTAGTTTTTTTTTTTTAAATTATAAAATTAAATTTTTTGTGTATTTTATTTTTAGATTTAAGAAATCTTGAAAGTCAAGAAAGAAATGCTGAAGAGATGTTGGCCACTAGATCACCTTAAACTAAATGATAAAAATTCGAGTGCGAAACTTAGTAATGTTTGATTTTATTTCGGTTTTAAATAAAGTTTTTGGTTTTCTTGTTTTGTTGTTGTGATTGTTGAACTTTTTGAATTTTGATTTTTTTATTTTTTTTTTCTCCGATACTAAATTCGGTATCAGAGAATTTATTATGTAAAATGCAAAAAAAAAAAAAAATTGATTTCTTATAAAAATTTTTGTTTGCTATAAGGTTGTTGCAAAGCAGTTTCTATTGATTTTTTTTCTATTTTTGTTTTATAAAAATTATTCCATAACAGTTTAGAACTGTTATAAAAATATAACAGTTTGAAATTGACATTTATGTCTGTTAGAAATTAACTTCTCCCGTATAATTTCAATTAAGGAACAAAAGATTTAAGTGAGAAACTTTTTGATTAAATTAACAAATTTAACTATAATAAAATTACGTATAGGCAATATCGAATCGGTAAAATTGATCAACATTTCAAAATCTTGTGTTTAGTATGTTAGGTAGTTAGTTGCGTACGCATTTCGTATATGATATCAGAATTTTTTGCAAAAAAAGTAAATAAGACACCATAACATTTCCATTTATCGCGCTTTTGCAAAAGATTTGTATTTTGCAGACTTAATTGATTTTGCTAAACTATGAGTAAATGATTTTAATTGCTAATTTCTAATTTTCTAACAAATGTCAGTGAAAAAATCGAAAAAAATTAATTAGCCCATATTTTGTTACTTGCATCTTTTATGGTTATGGAACGTTTTTTGAATATTTATAAGTAATAAGAAGTTTTTCAGTACGGAATTTCAAATTTTTAAAATTAATTTTCTTCAGAAAATTACAAAATTTTTTAATAACAATCCGTGATAGATTCGGACTAATAGTAGTCAAGTGTTGCGACTTACAGAATATGGTTGAATATTAAATTTCCTGAAATGATAAAAAACTCAGTATCAATTGGAATTTTTTCTATTTTTTTTTATCCACCAACAACTTGCTCATTACAATTTCAAAGGAACACAAATTACATTCAAAAAAATTGCCTACCAATCGAAAACTAAATGTCTTGTAAAATTTTTATGTTTCATATTTTCTTTTCTACTTTATTTTTGGGGTTTTTTGTTTTTAACACAATCATGCAAAATATGCAACTTTATACTGAAAAAAAAAGTTTAGCTTTACTTTAATCATTCATTCGTTTTTTTTTTTTTTTCGTAATTATCGTTTGGGCTTTTTTGGCTCTGATTTTTTTTTTTTTTTGTTTTTATTGTCTGTCTTTCTTTTTAGTTCTTTTTTATACAGTTTTAATAAACTTTACCATTAATATTTTTTCATTTTCGTTTTCATTTTCAATTTTTGTTTTTTTTTTGTCATCGATTTTATTTATAAGCATTGAATTTCTAATTCAAAAGCTCAACTCTAAAACACAATTAAAAATTTTTATTTTTCACGTAGTGGGAGAAACACGTGAAGAAAAAAAACTGAAAACAGATCCCAAGTTAAAATTAATATGCAACCTGTAAAGGTAAAAATAAAAAAAATGAAGCATTTAAGGGTCCATATATAAAGTCGAACTTGCTCTGTAAGAAACTTTTAACAGCAATTTAACAACTTAATTTTTTATATATAGAGTCTGAATTAAAAATAAAGGCGAGCTTTTACCTACATTTTATTTTTTATAATAACAAAAAAAAAAAATTTTACATTATTATTAACGGTAATAATTATTAGATGCTGCCTCACCGGTTATCCGTTATTTTTAATCGTGGTTGACATTGATTTCTGTCATGTTTTTATTATTGTTTTTTTTTTTATTTTTTTCAAATTTAGTTTCTCGATTGAATTCATATTAAAAAAATAGATATGAAAATTTCGAAATTTGGATTTAGTTTTCTTGAGATTTTATTAAAGGAAATTTATGAGAAATTTTAGGGAATTATTGACGTATTTGTTTACATGTGTTTACATTAAATGATGACACTGTGTTGCGATATTATGGTAAGCATGTAGTTTAGTTGAAAAAAAAAAAGAAGAACAAGTGCCATATTTGTTTTAAACTCATAAACACTAGAATATTAAGCTTCACATGCAGCTTGTGTTCTGGAGCCTGAGACTCCAGTAATTCTAAGCCTTTGTACAATTAGAAATTAGTCACAAAATGTCAAAATCAAAAAGTGTCAAAACAAAATTGACATTTGTCAAAATAAGAATAAACGAACAGCTTCAGCAATCTATAATAGCAATTTTTTTTCTACAAATTCTGTAACAGAAATTTCTCATTACTATATTCTAACAAATTAATCACAGATTTTATCATCGGAAGCAATGATTAATTTCTTATATTTTCAATATAAGAAATTGTAATCATTGCTTCCGATCGTTTTTTCTCGATTTTTCATTTCTTAATGAATCAGTAATAATCTCTTAATTAGTTATACTGCTTACATAATATTGAAGAAAATTTACGATTTAATCTGAGTCTGATGAAAAACGTACATATCACGTCACAAACACCTTGTTTGTTATCAGGCTCTGTCTAAAGGCAAATAATAATTTTGTCTAATTACTCTACATTCTCATAAGATTTACTGTCACATTTTTTAAAAGTAAAATGGCGACAATTACTTTTCATAACAAATTATTAAATTATGACGTAAAGTCTGACATAATTTCAGTCTTATATCGTAGATTTTATTTTAGATTTTCTTATATAATGCAATGTTATTTTATCAATTTTTTATTTTATAAATATAAGCAGAAAGATACTATTTATTACAATAATAAGAATGACAATGAGATGACAGAATAACAAGAGCGTGGGAAACCGAAATAAACTGACTATTAATGTTGATTACAAAAATGAATCTGTTATACGAATTTTATTAAAATTTTTTATGTGTATATAATAAATTTATACCAAAAAAGAAAAAAATTTTAAAATCATTTTTAATTTTATTTTAATTTATTTGTATTTTGTAAACTAAAATAAATAAAATTTATATTCAATTTTTCATTCCTTATAAAATCTATTGTGTATTTTTGTTTTTTTCATTTGTTTTTTATAAAAGTACTCAATGTTTGTACTCATCTAGTTGTTTTTTGTTTATTCAACAAAATAATAAATATTTTTTTCATTGTAATAAATAAATATTACTAATTTCTTTTACTATTTATGTATGTGAAAAGTTCATCACATTTAATTGTGAATATTTTTCAAAAAAAAAGTCGCGAAGTAATTAACGTGGTTTTAAGAAGAAAAATAAAATATAATTGTTTTTATTTTTTTAATTTTTGAGACTAGAAATGCAATGAAGGTGACATGATAAATTTGGATGAACAGGAAAACAAGTATAAAAAATTTTTTTTCAATTTTTAAATAGTTTGAATTTTTATTTCTATATACCTACCTACCATTTACATACAGATCAAACAAGAATTGGGCAATTTTTACTTAATCGCATCAACTAACAAGTACTATGTTCTATACATATACCGCCATCTATATATTTGTAGTAATACTTTTGTTGCGATTGTAATGTTGAGATATGTAAATTTTTACATTGAGTAGGCTATTGAGCATATTTTTATATTTTTTTTTAACAATAACAATAAACTGTAATTAATCTTATGAAATTTTTAAATAATATTAATTGTAGGTGAAATGATCATTTCATTTGTTATCCTTTGAAAGCATTTTTAAAAATAATAATACGAGTACCAAAAATGACTGAAACGCGTACAAATAAATAAAATTCACTTCACACAATATTATTAAGGAAAAGAAGAGTTAATTAGGTAATAAAATATTTGTGGGTTAACCTTTTCATATTTTAAATAATTACAAATATTGTATGTTGGAATAATAGGATTATGATTTAAGTAATAAAAAAAAGTTTATGATACAGAGTACAGAAAAGAAGAAAAACACGTTTGTCTTATTATTAGAGTAAAATTTATTGTATTAAGATCAGCAATATTCACCTTTTCATATTTTAATAATACTGAAATTCATACACGGAAAAAATGAATGTGATGGTGAAAATTAAAATGAAATTTATTCCATTTTTAACAATTTTAAGATGAATTAGAACATGGGTAAAAAAAATTCAAATACAACCAGAATTTGAAGCTACTAGACTTATCGAAAAATGTAAAAATTTTGGCTTCAAAACTTTGTTTTTAACAATTCAGTAATATTTCAAATTCGTGGACAGTCACTTGCTTCGCCGATTATGATAAACCTCTTAATGTTACTCGTGAATCGGATTTATTCCCTTCTGTTTTGGGATATTTCAGATAAAAAATTCTAAAATTCTCATTATTCCATTTTTGATTATTATTTTCACAAGTTTAATTATTTGTAATATGAAACTAAATAATTATGTACTGGTAGTTGTCATTTATCACTCACCATTCAAAACAATCTTTTAAAATGTTAAACCACAAAAATGACAAAGCATATATTGTTATACAAAGAAAATTTTAATTCGTTTGTATAAACATATTGGTTATGGTTGTAACAATAATAATTTTTTTTCGAATTTCACAATTGTAAATATTCAATTTCAATAAATTTAATATATAAATAAGATTTTTGTAAGACGCAACAGTTGTGATTAATTAAAAAGAATTAAAACTCTGGAGAGAAAATTGAAAAATGCAAAAAGAGATGGAATAAAAAA